AGAAGTAACATAAAAAGCACAAAGAAAAATGCATACATTGTTCAAACAGTGGTCTGTAATATCCGATCTCGCCACAAAAATCATAATGATACAAGAGAGGCAGCTCTGGCATGCAGAGGGGATCTCACTTCCTATCTTATCCGCCCTTTGGCAATAACATTTCCAACAAAGGGAGACAGAAAAGCTTTTTATGAGAAGCAACACAGCAATGTAATGCATTTTTCTTTATTAGTTTTTTTGAGGGGTACAAAGGAGGATGAAGATGGGAAAACGAACAAGAAGCTGTTGGTAGAGGAAGCAATTATCAGGATGGAAACCCAAGCAGGAAGCCTTGATCCATACACAAGAAAGAATTAATTGTGCTGCTGCTTCTATGAACATGTTAGAACTGGGGGTTAATAAAAACTGCACGTGTCAAGCAGGCCACAAGTGTTCAGAGGGTTCACTGGTTCAAATCTTCAGATCACAGATATAGCAAAACAAATTAGTTTTTTGACCACCTCCCTACAGAGAACTTCAATACAGCATCTTAAATGAAGATACATGATTTAAAAAGGCAGCAAGCATCAGTGGGTTCTTTGCTCTTTTCACTGTAGAACATGGGTTAAGAACTAGCAGATAAAAGATAACACTGAGGAAATGAAGTGATGGTTTACTGTGCCATTGTTATGATATCATCAGTGATGGTATAAAACAATCAAATTCAACCATTTCCAGTTTTAGTGAAGGGTTTACCAGAGATACCCAGCTAGCAGAGAACCAGCAGCATTAGGAAGTGCCACTGGAGTGACACAAGCTATTCCAAAAAGCTCACCATGTCGACTTAAGATAAAATTCAACATACAGCAAAAAACAGCCTGAAAAGAAATAGAGGGAAGACAGGGGAAAAGTGGAAAGAGCAACAGCTGCACAGATTAACTAACGTAACAGTCTGCTTTAATTGATTTTTTGGTTTTACGTTAAGTAGAAAACAAAGGTGAAACACTGCCCTAGCTAGCTCTTATCCTTAAGCCAAGGATCCCCTTTATCCACTCCAGCAGACCCTGCAGAAACCATGGGAAAGAGGGAAAACTTGCAGTTAACTACAGGCTTTGACCATCTGGGAGAGAACAAATGCTCCAGGTTAAGGGCCTGGAGTTGATCACGCTTATGCTACTGTACCTAAAAATACGTTCACCTCAAGGAACTCATGGAGCCTGCAGTGCTGAGCTGAAGACAACCCCTAAACACATGTAAATACACATTCTCCAACGGACATGCTTCACGTCTTGGTGAACCACTATTGGTTTTGCTCTGTTCACCAGAAAAGCTTTGCTCACAAATCAAAGACACGAGCACAGGGCATACTCGGAGTATTAAGAAATGGTATCAAAAGAATGATGAAGCCAAAATTGCACTGAAAAGCTTCCTTAATTTAAAGCCTGCTTTCTTAAAAGAGGAGCTTTCATATTGTGGCAGATTGAAAATGATTTCAGTTATTCCATTTTTCCACATTCCTCTTGCAGTATTTCAGGTGCGCATCAGAGCAAAGCTTTCAGCACTGCAGCCAGCCTGCTGTCCTGCTCGACAACGTAAGGAAACAAGACAAAGCTGCAGCTCCCTTAACTAATTTTACCATTGTGTTTTCACTGCCACAAAGCGAGTCAACAGAAAACAGCAAAACCAGAACTCCTGCTTCAAAAGCACTGTGTTTTAGAACAGTTCATGGCTCTGTAACTGAACAGTAAAACACAAATATCCAACAGCTACATGCAGGAGGCAGTAAGAAATAGATCCCTTAGGAGAAAGTTAATCCACTGAACTCTTCCAAGTTCATTTTCAAATTCATATACTACTACAGACAGGCCCAGACTTCTCCCTCTGCTAGATTTTAACCCCAAGCCCTCTCTCTGAAAAACTCATTTCTGATAATGCAGCAGAATTCTACAGCCTCTCCATCAAATAACATATCACAGCTCACACGTGGAAACCTAAGTTGCCATTCTGAGTAATTATTTGGTAGTATATACAGTAGGTAGCTACTTTATGATACATGCATTAAGAGTGACAGACTACTTAAGATGTGGACTGTCTCTTGCTAAGCATTTGCACAGGAGTAATGCAATTGCACCCTGAACCTCTGCTGCATCAAGGGGATTTAAAGTCATACCAAAATTGAATTTGTCTTTTGCTAATTCATAGGGATCCCATAAAAATAAGGGGAGGGAATTCTGCAAAGGTTTTTAAACAAAATAAATGACACTATTTCTCTTCAATTCTGAATGAGATTATGTCTGACCTCACTGAAATGAGTAATTTCAATGAGAAATAACTCATCTAAATGAGTTTATGCAACGCTGAAACATTACAGGCATCAAAATCAGAAAACAAAAATGATTACAGGCAACTGAAAACATGTTCCAAAGCTCAAAGAACAGGTATTAATGGTCAAAAGAAGATCATTACAATACAGCATTAAGCTTTAATTTTAAAAGAATGTAAGCACAAAATAATGCCTTTCGGGGGCATCTCTTAAAAAAAGAACTAGAACTGCATTTTGTGTGACACTTTTAAAGGAATCTTTAAAAATACAGAGAATACTGTGCAGGCTGCAGTGTTGAATAGTGCAGAAACACTCAGGGCTCCTGTTTACCTGAAGAATTACTAACACAAACACTCATGGAATAACTGCAGTTTCTTAGAGTAGAAGCATCGTTTGAGTTTGATGCATTACTATTACAGACCTTTCCTCTTCTCTTTGGTAACAAAGGCCAGAGGAATTTAAAACAACTTTGGAAATAATAAACCCACCCCACTCTGAAACCTGCCTGACATCAAGTTTCTGCCCAGCAGGAGATTTTACACCACCTTGAAAAGAGAGCTAAACCAGCCTCTTATAATGGAAATTCTGACAGACCAAGAGCTATAGTAAGAGCTGACACTGTAATAGTCTTTCCTTCCCTTCAGGTCATACTGAAATCTTTTGTCATTCTCCTCTGTAAAGATAGTTGCTTAATTACAGAAACTAGAGGTTTTGCAACCTACCTCCTAGTTTCACACTTTAATTCTTCCTGTTCTCACTAACTCCCATCACTAATTTGTCTTTCCAGCTTCAGCTGGTGGATTTAGATGGAAGCTTCAGAAAGTTGATCTGCAAGAAATGTGATTCAGCTGCTTAACTTTATCACAGAAGTTTCATTTTTCAAATCCACTGTCCCTAGAGAATGAGCTCTGATTTTGATCACAAACAAATCGAATGAACGATGGCAACAATCCCACTACTTCAACTTATCAGTGCACCAACTCCTTATGAACTATCTAAAATTCAAGTATTGCTTAAGAGACTTTTGCCTGTGTAAGAAAACAGGCAAGGACAAGTCTCCATCAAAGAGGAACAGCAGAATCTTGGTCTGATGCAGACAAAAGTCAAGTTTGAACACATTTAGATTCCTAGAAAGTTATCACTTCTGAAGCACTTAAAAATAAATCAAGCTGCTCTACTGCTTCTACTGTGGGTTATGTTCATGCATGGCTTTTGGAGAGAAAATGAGACTGAACTCCAATTTTTAGCTACCTTTATAAAGATCAATCCTTATCAAACAAAACTATCTGTGGCTAAGTAGAATGGCAATGGTAGAAGGGATTCTGTCCACAGAACCCAAAATGCTGAAAATGAACTGGAATACCAAATTTGGATCCCATCCAACCTGAGGCTCTAGCTGCCTGGCTGGAAGACAGTAGAAAGCCAACACTGTGCGAACTGCAAGACTTGAGATAGATACTGTATAATTTAAAAGCAGCTCCAATTAGTTTCTTTATACCAATGGAAATCTGTAATAAACACCTAAATAATTCCTGAAGTCAGATCCACTGAGCTAGCCTGAATGGGATTTAGGAAATGCCATTTCATTAGCAACCAAGGACTAAAACCCTGGTTGCATGCTTACCTTCATAAGGTGTGCAATGTTTTCACTAGATGTGTGTGCCTGCAAGTTTCTGCTTGCAGAAAGGAAAACATTTATTGCAACACCTTTAAAAGGCAACATTCTTTTACATTCAGTTTCTCAGCGCTTTAACTGCAAGAAGAACCAACTAACATCAATTTTCACAAGAATACCACAGAATCCATCATTTCTCCAAGTAAAAGCAACATTCAGGATAGTCAAATATGCTCTGAAGCATTAGCAAATAACCATTAAGAACGTAATGAACTAAACAACCAAAAGGCTTGCTAATGAGTGCACAAGGTACATCTGCAGGTGAAATGAGAGGGAAGAAAGTGGGGGAAGAGAACAACAACAAGCCTCATCCTTCAGTAAGCATACGACATAGGAAAATAACAGTTGGGTGTGGTGATTAAATGCTAAATAACAGTAAGAATTTACTGAAAATACAGGGTACGTGAGAATGCAGCACGTCACGCTCTGGCTTTCATGCACAGTTATCCTCCACAACAGCAGCTTTCCATTTCCCAAGGTTAGCAGAATGTATTAAACTGGTGATTCTGTACAAGTGGATTTTTTTTGTAATTGAGTATTACATAAGGCAGAAAAATGCTGCTTGTCCTAAAGTGGGAGTTCAAACCAAAGGTCCTCCTAAACATACTGCGTATGAGCATTAAAAACAGGGAGTCTGGGTTATGAAAAGAAGCCATATGACTAAAAAGTGAATCCATTTTCCAAGACGCCCACACAGACAAGAGCTTCTGATGTGAAAAATGGTCTCTGCAAAAGCTCAATTGCACAGATTATTTTCAGGAGGAGACAGAATCTGCACCACATGCAGATTATATGACGTTTACTGTGACGAGGTTGAAAAACCCCACATTATTCTGCATTATTACAGTATGAACAATGACTTGATCAACATTACGAGACAAATACCAAGCGTTGTTTAACTCAATAATCATCTTCCTTTCACATTTACACAGCAGAGATGCTTGATTTTTCCAGGCTAGTTTTATCTACCTTTAAAATAAGGTACAACAATGTGTGTTAGACAGCAAAGAGTTTGTGGCTTACCTTGGCACTGAAATCCTTGCTTCCCAAATCCCCTGTATAAAACAAGGAAAACAGAAAAGTCTTAGTATGTTCAGTCACAATTTCTTCTCAATGATCTGTAACAACATGAAAATAGCTTCATATTCAATTACTTCACATTTTGCTAAGACAGCAACAGATCTGAAAACCTCAAACACACAGCAGCCCACCCATTTCAGAGCACAGAACAATAGCTGTCACCAGCTCTGCAATTCCAGCTGCTGGCAACTCTGTTTTTATTATTATTATTTTACAAGCTATTTTGGATCTACAATTATAATCATCTGTGACTGCTGCATAATATTTCAACTCATTTCATGCCACACGTATACTTAACAGCAATGCAAAACACTCCAAGTTCTAGGAAAGGCATCTACAACAAAGCAGACTTGGTTCTGCAGCCAGATTTGGCGACTGCATGCCAACGGTGTTACGTGCCCCAGCGAGATACCAGTTGTTTGTTGTGTGGCAAGGTTTTGCTTGTTTCACTATGAATGAGGAGAGGACAGGCCCAGTGGTTTCACACTGATTATACTTCCAGCTTCCTTTCTTTATTTCCATAACAAAACACAAATGTGCATGTGATACTATACCAATGAAGACAGTGACACACAAGCCTTGTATGTGGTATCCAGAGCTCCAACACGTATTATACCTCTGGCAAGTTGCACTGTTGTTGGTGTATTTATTTCTTTAAACATTCAGCATTCTCTTTCCACAAGAATAAATATTTTGAGTAGCCTCCCTATTCAACATTTCTCTGCATTCTCCCTTCTTTGCAGGATGTTTTTCATCTGGAGAGCTGGAACCGCTTAAACTCAAAGGCAAATGAACAAGAGGCACGGACTGGAAGAGCCAGCCAGCAGGCTCTATGCAATTAACAGCATGAAGATTAATTATCAACTGTGGAAATTGCTTTTAAAAACATTATCTCAATGTTTTTCCCACTTTTTGTTTATTTACTTCAGGCGAAAGCTGAAATTACACAGGTTTGAGCACCTCCATCAATTTCTACACAAAAGTCTCTATGTGCTAGAAGTAGGCCTAATCATTGAATGATCTGGGTTGGAAAGGACCTTAAATCTCCTCCAGCTCCAACCCCTGCCACAGACAGGGACACCTTCCACTGCAGCAGCTTGCTCCAAGCCCCTGTGTCCAACCTGGCCTTGAGCACTGCCAGGGATGGGGCAGCCACAGCTTCTCTGGGCACCCTGTGCCAGCGCCTCAGCACCCTCACAGGGAAGAGCTTCTGCCTTATACTGAATGTAAATCTTTCAGCTTAAATCCATTCCGCCTTGCTCCATCCCTACATGCCCTTGTAAAAAACCTACCTAGAAAAGTCCTAATCTAACAAAACCAGAAGAAATGTAGATTAGTTCTGTTTACTTGGCAGCACCCATGACTGTACCATACTGCTGCTCTGCTGTTGTTATCTCTTGTCTTCACAAAAGTAAGCAGCACGCACTGGAAGTGTGCGAACGTAACTGCAGGGAAGCTGACAGCAGGACCAAGAACATGAAGCAGACTTTAGATAAATGTTCAGCCTTTTAAACAGACTTCTTTGTAAAGAACGTTCCTGTATTATCTGCTCTGCAAGCTGAGCCAGCCTTCAGGGTTTGAGCTGAATTCATACGCGAACCAGCTGCAGTCCACCCCCTGATCACTTACAGTGTATTTTAAGGAAAAGGTCTTTAAAATATCAGCATTTCAGGAACAAAGAGAAAAGGTGTTTAAGGAGATAAGGAGGAACTGAACTATTTTGGCAAATCTCACGCAGTCTAATGTAATCTAAGAAAGAGACTCTACTTGCACAGTTCACTGCAGGGCTGTATTTACTATTCCTTATACCTTAAAGCATATGTTAATTGCCACATGTCACGCTGAAAATAGATGAAGCACTTTTTATGGTGTATGATGCTTATTCAGGAGCTGCGCATCTCCAAATGCAGAAATGAAACCGAAGTTTGAGTTGTCAGATGCTCATCTGACGAATGCTGAGAGCTTCCTTAGGCTCACCAGCAAGACAGGACAGAAGAGCAGAGCCACTCTGCCCACCACCAGAGAGAGGACACCCTCTCACTTCCAAATCCATCCCTTCACCTCATGCTTCCACTTCATTTTTTGACTGTGCTACTTCTGTGCACAAACACAGCCTGACAATAAGCCTGCAGCAGGTTCACACCTCTCAGTTCATCCTGGTTTAGATTAACTTTGAAGCAGTTTCTAAAGGTCTCTCACTTTTACAATACCAGACTTTGGTGGTTTGTTTTTCTTTTTAGAATAGGAAAACATAATAGAGAGAAACCAAGAAGTTGGCTTGTTTCTTCCTGTTCCCTACCATCTCATTGTCCTCCCTGACTCTGCAGATAGATTTCGATCACTTCTGGAGTAATCACGGTCTTTCCTTCACCATGCAAACCGAGGGACACTCAATAAGGAAGGCAAAGGTCTGTACCCAGACACGTTAACACGTGTGAGAAGGGCAAGAGACCAGCGGCAGGCACAGAGCCAGCCGGGCGCAGAGCCCCCGAGAGCCTTCACAACTTTGTCTGAAGCAAATCACAGCTCGTTTTCAGCTCGGAAACCTGCAGCGAGAGCTCCAGCAGCAGAGCAGGGCTGGGGCTGAGCCACGGCTCGGGTAAAGGTGAGGAAGCCGGGGCTGTTTACGTTGCACACCCGCTGAATGTACCAACAGTCACCGAAACACAAGGGCACACGCCCGCTCCTCCTGCCCCACGGCCGAGGAGAGCGGCTCGGCCTGCTCCGGCGCCGCAGTCCTGCCCAGGGAGGGCACGGCACCAACCGAGAGGTGCATTTGCTCCCTAACAGCTTAGTAATAAGGGTGTTGGTAGGAAGTTTTCCTCCCTTCCTCCCCTCTCTTGTAAAACAAAAACCCCTCCCTTCACTCAACACGTAATGTAGCAACAGTGTCCCTGTGCATTCCCGACCTCCCTGCCCTCCCCTCTGCAGCAGAAGGAAATAAAGCCGGCACTGATCTCAAAGTTTAAAGGCAGGGCTGCTGAAGTTGTGCCACACAGCAACACCCACAGCCTGAAACAGAAAACCCTCCGTCCCCACCGCGGCAGCTGTAGCGCTACCGGGAGGCGGGCACCGGGACGGGGTTTCGCGGGGGGAAGCCGAACAGGACCCGGGTCCGGCGGGTGGGACACAAGAGGCACAGCAATACCCGCACGGGCTGTTCGGGGAGCGGTGTCCCCAGCGCGGGTCCTCACACCCCGCTGATCCCTGCGGCACCGGCGCTGCCCCCGGCGAGGTCAGGGGCTCCCCGAACCCGGGGTGGCCCCTCGAAGGATGCGATAGAGCCGGGGGCAGCGAGGCGATATGGGCTGTGCCAAGCCAGGGCTCACCTGCCCGCCCCGGGGGGAGAGCGGAGGGGACGGGCGGTCACCGGGACCGGGACACAGCGGCTGCCCCCGGAGGGGGAATCCCTTAGAGCAGCGCGGGCCCGGGCGGAGGAGCGGGGAGGGGAAGGCGCCGGCGGGGTCGCTCACCATATGAAGTCCGTGCAGTGGCTGCAGAACGTGGGCTGCTTGAAGAAGCGCGCGATGAATTTGTGCTCCTTCACCTCGTGCACGTTCTTCTGCCTCAGGGCTCCCTTGCGAGCGAAGCGCCGCGCCGCGTCCGGGGCCGCGCCGGGCTCGGAGCCCGGGAACACGTCGGCCATAGCGCCCTCCTCTCCTCCACGGCCGCCGCCCCCCCTCCTCTCCTGCCGGCAGCCGGCAGTCACCGCCCCGCACAGTCCGCCCCGTCCGGCGGCCGCCGAGGCTCTGGCGAGCGGCGGCGCTGGGCGCTGCCTCCGGCTCCCGCGCCTGACGTGAGAGCGGGAGGAGGATCCCGGGCCCGCGCCGGCTGCTCCGCCCGCGGGGTGAGCGAGCCCCGGGCCGCCGGCGGGGCGGAGCAGAGCGGAGCGGCCCCGCTCCGGGCCCGCCCCTCGAGCCTGGGGAGAGGAGAGGAGAGGGGGGGCGTCAACACCTGCCGCCTCCCGTCAGCGGTCCCCGCCCCGCGGCATGGGTTCAGCGGGGCCGCAGCGCTGCCCGCACCGCCCCGGGTCTCCGCGCACACGGGTTCCTCGCACGCATTCACACGGAGCGGCTCCGTCCCGTGCCTCGCCCGCAGGCAGCAGCTGCCTCCCTTCACACACACCCCCCTGCGCAGAGTTTCCCCAGCTCCGGCCATGGAAACTGACACCGCGGCCCTCGGCAGCCGCCGGCCCGGTGCCCCTCGCCGCTGCAGCAGCGCCTCCGGCCGCCTTCCCTCCGTGCAGCTGCTGCGCCGGGCCCCTGGCACCCCGCCTGCCACCGGCTTCCTGCAGCCACCGTCGGGCGGCTGTGGCACCACAACAGGCAGCGCTGCAGCCCAGGCGCGCTCCCCCTCAAACCTTTCCGCTTCCTGCACCTCCAAACCCAAAAGCACGCGGGCAAACGGTGTCCGGGGCCGCTCCCAACAGCCGCACATCACACACCACCACCAGGCGGTCCGCGGAAGAGTGGCCTCACCCTCGCACCCCACTTACCTGTAATTTACCCTCGATTAAATGTGTAGGAAACACACAGCAAGACTTTCTCACCAGTTCATCCACCCAACACAAGCACAAAAGGCCTTTACTGTGTTTTTGTGCATCACACCAACAATGTAATAAAGTTTTCTATAAGATAATAGCTCATGAGGTCTAGTATTCATCTTTGTCTATTCACATTACACATGAAATGGTCACAAGTCTCTGGGGACAGAAACATCTGTCTGGCACACCTACATCCTCATACAGCAATCTCTACAGGATCTCTATAGGTTCAGAAGAACACCACATAAAACATGACTGTATTAACATAAAACCACAATATCTGCCTTAAATAAACAAAGGCTAATCATATATTTTAATCATGTTTTTAATAAGTGTTATTCCCATGGCTACAAGTCTTTACCTATGGGAAGCATTCACATTAAAAGCTTCTCTGCCCCTATATATCACAGCAATAGACTCACAAGTCTGTGTAAGCACATGTAGTGTGTTTTATTTCACAAGAATGAGAGCAAGCTAATTAAGTCAAATTAAGTCTTTTTTTGCTGATGGGAGAAGTGCACGTGGATATTTACCACAGAACAGAAACAACTTGTTACACGCTATCTTACTCTTGCTTTTAAAACCTAGGTGCCAGCCCCGCTGAACAGGCATGTCCATGGTATTTCATCAAATAACTGATGACAGGGTTAACCCCTTTAAGCTTTATTCTTAACCTATAGAATCAAAGCAGGTACCCTATAAACTGTTTCCATATGCCTGTATTCATGGACTATTATTTTACAAGCAACTGCTTTTAAATTTTATCTGAAAATCAACAAAATAGAAACATTTTTTATTTGGTTTCTACCTATTCTACACACTTCAAATCTCTTATTCCCCTTCTGAGGAAATGGATTAACTTATGCCAAAGCATGAAGAGCACTAAGAAACATTTTGTTCTCTCATTAAGTGTTCTATCGAGAAATATGGAATGTATTTTGTTCCATTCCTTTAGTGCTGGATTACAAACAGCCATCGAAACTGGAGATTCTGAACCGCACACAACTCGCGCTACATCAGATTTGGGCTAATCTGTGTATTTGGTTGTTCCTTCAAATCTCACAAACCTGCTGAATCATCTTGGATTCCTGTTTCTTTCCTGAGAGTGACCCTGCCCAAGATTCATCCACTGAAATGTAGTCGAGTTGTCAGTTCCAGGCTCTTCGTTCCAGCACCAGTAAATTGTTAGGCCTCAGGGAAGAGCCAGCCAACACCAGTCGTGACATAGCACAATCACATTAGGATCATTTTGCCTCTGTAAAGCAACCATTTTTTCTCAAACCTAATGATTATTTGTGCATTGTGATTATACACATCAGCCAAGAGAAAAAATCTGTTATGTCTGCATCAGTGCTCTGATGAGCATGTAAACCACTGCCACACGGTCATCCCCAACAGTATATAACTCCTCTTACTGCTGTATTTTGAATACGTACCACTTACACAGTGCTTTTTTGTAGGTATATATATATTAATCTTGTCTTATATCCTTATATTCAAATGTCAAGAATTGTCACGATGACCAGGATACTACAAGGAGATTCTGTGTTCCATTCACCAGGCCCTTCTGGTACATGCTATTGTAATATTAGCACCCTCTTGCTGGGAGGCTTTTAATTGCTTAGCCTCCCATTTTTCCTACTCTGCACTCAGGTCCTGTGGGTGATGCTGATCCTTCCTCTGCACATTACTGTGAAAGATGTCTGCCACCTCTTCCTGAGCACACACATTCCCACCATCAGCCCATGACTTGTTCTTTAGCGCAGGGTAGTGTTTGCAATTTGTTTCTGATTCGGGCCATGTGGACAAGGAGTCAGCATGATCGTTGTTTGTGTTCAGGTTATTAAATCAGAGCACCAGCTTTTCCAGTCTCCTGGCAAGCAGCTTCAGTATTCCCGACTCCAAAGTGCCGTTTGCAGGGTCTTCTGATGATAAATTTACTCCTATATGAATATTTGGATGATCTCCTAGAGAGTTCTTCCCCCACAGAAATTCCCATTGGATGGCTAATGAGGTTTCTTCTCTGAAGAATCTGATTACTGCTGTGACAAGCATAACTTCTCAAGCCCTTTCTATATTTGCATCAATACCATGCCAGGTCTGTAAGTGCAAGCATCTGTGTTCATTCTGAAAGAGGCTTCTCAGTCGTTCTGCTGCCTGTGAAATGCCTTCTCTTTTTACTCATCTGCTGGGTCAGCATGTTACAGCTTGTATCATTTTTGGATCAAAAAAGCAATAAAAAAGTGTCTCCTTCCTAAAGGAAAAGCGTCTGGATTGTTCTGGCCCTGTTCACATGTGCTGCACTGCACCAACTCAAAGACAAAGCCAAGGAGAACACCTTTATCAAGTTCTTTGGCAGTTGTGGCCCTCTTTGATTATTTCCTGCTTGTGAGAAATACTCAACAAACAGGAGTCACTTCCTGCTTGAGACCTATAAGGAAGTCCACAGCCTAATTTCTCCTCACATTTCAAAGCAAATTACAACCACTTCCTTTTCTAGAGAGTTATCAGAGCAAATAGATGCTTCCCAAATCCCCTTTAGGAAGGATAATGTATTCATTGCAAACCTGCTGCCTGAAAATGATCTGCTTCACTCAGTCTCATTTTCCAAAGGAATTTCCACACAGTCGGGTTATGAGGCATTTCTACCAGGAACTACCATGGAATGAACTTGCCATAAGGAAGTCAAAAGGAGCTATCAGCTTCCACTAATAGAAGGACTTCAGAGTAAGAATGCAGAAGCCAGGTTTTCCTGATGCCCTTGGCCACGCAGCACATACTTTGTTTGAAATCACGTTCAGCACTGAAGCTCTCGTTCATAAGTTTGTCATGTTTTGACCAGTAATTATGGGATAATGTCCACTACTCCTATGGGTTTTCCTGGTCCTACCACGCCTTATTAATCACACTGTTTATTGTTTTTACCCAGACACTTTGGCAACAATGTTTTGTGAAGGTTTCCCTCAGAAAAAGGTAGGATGTCCTAAATATATACATATTATAATGTATAGTATTATAAATAAATAGACTTGTGTATTTGCATGTCTGCTATCCCAGTGGTGAGAAGGAGGTAGAAATGTTTTGTCTGTGTGTATCAACACCAATTTCTGCATCTTTTTGTGTCTTTCTGCATCTGCGCGCTTACAGTCTGCACAACTCTACCTGTGTCTCTGTATTCACATTGATTCTCTGCCCTTTTCCCCTCAAAGTTACCCAGATTGCAGGTTGGGAAATACTGGGTCATTAGATTTGATTAGTAAATTATCCCGCAGACAGCTTGCTTACACACAGTACTGCTAATGTGAAAGCCTGAATGTATGTATTAAACTATGGTCAAAAAGAAGACTAAGTGCAGAAGAAAAGCCCTATAAGAAAATAAATATCACAGAAAAATACATTTCTGAGAAAACCTGCTGGAAAAAACTGGTATCTTACTAATAACTAATACTGTAATAACTAAACATCTAATAATAACTGATCATTTGCCAGGGGTGAAATTGCAGATCACTGAGATGTCCTAATCAGAACAATCCTGTCTCCCTTTGTGTCATGTAAATGATGCCATTATTCCAGCTCGAGTTTCCTGGAAAGTGGTGCCAATCCCATTCCTCCTGCAGACAGCTTGTAGGTGCCTGTGAATTATCCTCACAGCATCTCTCCATAGAACTGGAAATAAATGGCTGATGATATACAGAACATTGCATGTAAATACATCATTTTTCAGTATCAGTGTAGTGAGTGACAACCTATTGCTTTCTTTTCTCATGTTTCAGGTGTATCAGGAGCATGGTAAACTATTTCCTAGTTATAGAGCTGGATCAGAGCTTGAATGCTGTTCTGCACTGAAATGCCATGGGGGTCCTTTGGGATGTTTCATGAGGTTTTTTCTCTTTCTAGACTGTATAAATAAACATCTCTGCCTCAGCTGGAGGATTTGCTATCATTGTTGTTTTGCAGCTTTTGTCCTTCCCACCAGCAATCACTTTGGAAACTTTTGAACATCTCTACCAAAAAGCAATTCGCATTCTTTTGAGTGCATCAGAACAATTCTCTTGTGTAGGCAAATTTTCAGTCTTTAGCTGTATATGGAAAAAAAGCAGACTCAAACCCTGAAATACAAATGAAGGACTCAAAGGACGCAGAAGAAAGAACAAACCTCTCTTGTACCAACTGAACAAGGAAGCCTTTATTGTTTATTTAGAGAAACATGGCACACAGATTTGTAAGAAACAAAGTAGGTGGGTTTTGCCA